TTAAGGAACCTTAAACAGCCTTTGAAACATGATMCATTGCACCCTGCTGATAAAGAAGACTCATATTTTTGCCTCTTTTCTCACAAAAGAGATTTCAATTTTATAATCGGCTGTTATATTTCATTTACTCAAATATGATAGTGAATTTTTCAGGCAGGCGCAACTGAACTACTTTTTTAAGAGATAAAAAAATGCTTTTGTTTAGGCAATCTTTGAGAAGGGGTACATTTACACTTTTTCCCAGTGGCTGATTTRTTTTATTGAAAGTCATACTTTCAGCTTCACAGATCAGCTTCTTTAGACTTTTCTCCAGACCATTTTAAATTGGTAATGAAAGTGTGAAGGTGGTTTATAAGCACACAGAGTTTGGCTGGAGTCAGTGCGGTAGCAGCAAGACTTGTTTGCAGGAGACTTGGACACAAGTTGCAAAACTTAGCTCCTTAATCAGGTTTTGAGCACTTCAAAGAGTCCTCAAACCTCACATTTGAGTTTAGTTCCCTGACTTTGAAATCTGGATACACCCCAAGCACTTGGGAGGTATGCAGATTTGCAAACCATTTCTAAATCTCAACAAGCTAAGAAAGTCCAGAGTGTCTTAGAAAACATTTCAGGCTTGTTCTGAAGRAGGCTTTGAAATCCTTTCAGGAAAGAGCTCTAAAAGGCTTTTGAGTAACTAGGRGCACATTTTCTGAGTGGATTTTCACATGGTTCACCTACAGGATAATTTAATTCCCTTTCCTGAAAGGGAAAACACACAGTAAGTCTTCATAATATGATCCCTCACRTTAGAGGGATCACCAGTTAGATTACCCTTTCCACCCACCTGGCAGTGCAGGATTGTTCCCTACAGCATACAGCGAAATCCAACACRTCCAAGGTGYTGCAACTCAGCCATCAACCYCTATYCTGTTTCCAGCATTCTRTGAGAAGCACCAGASCTGGGGSTGAGGGTGTAGGAAAAGGGCTTTTCCTGGATATGCTGCAAAACTGCTAATTTTTTGTTACAACAATGCAGCAATATGAAATTTTAATCAAGAAACAGGGAAATGGGTTGTTAATGGCATATTCTGAATCCCTTTGGAGGCAGAAAGCAGGGATTCGAAAAATGCTTAAGATGCCCAGACTGAAGTCTCCTGAGCTGTGGAGACAGGAGACTGCCCTGAAACAGTCCATGGACTGATCTCTGTACCCAGAAATAGGCCAGAAAAGGAWTGGGAAAGTGGTGGAAAAACAAGCAGACCAAATGAGGGACCACAACAAAACAACCTCTTGACTTCATTGCCATGAAAGGCCTTAAAAACTAGACTACTAGGACACAGCAGCATCTACCTCCAGAAAACTTTGATGTGCACAAAGATAAAATGTTCARATGCCTCCAGGACTTGACTTGAAAAATAAAATCATGTTTGAGCTATTTTCATGTGAACATTTTGGCATCTTTCTGGAGTAAGCATGAACCACRTTCTGCCATGCCCTCTCTCTAACAGCATCCCTTTCTTGCTCCTTCTGCCTTATCCCTGTCATTAGGCATTATCTCTCCAGCAGACTGGAACAGAATCACCCCATTTAAAATGCATTTAGGCATTCTCTTCATGAGAGAAAAATTGCAAAGAGAAAAAGGCATCCATGGCAGGAGGAGACGAGGGAAGATCCCCTCCCCTTCCCTGCTCCCCCCAGGAAGCAGGGACCAATCTTGAAACATATTGTGTGTATTTTRCACTTATTTCCTCTACTAATTTAGTTGAGGAAAGCAGTTGCTATGTGTTACACATGCCAATTTTGAGATACTAGGCATCTTCTCAAGAGGCTGCAGATGGATTGTAATGAAAACAAGCCCAACTACAAATGGCCTTAAAACTTGGCCTGAATGATGCCTGCAGCTCAGCTTAGGACTACCTTGGCCTCCTCCCTCCCATGGCAATCACCATCTTGCACATCTGAGAATGAGGAGTATTTCTTGACAGGTTCCTTTGGGAAGTCATCCCTTCCTGCCTTAATATCTTGGTCTTCTAAATCCTCACTCAATCTCATTTTGTTTGTGCTCTTGGCTGGCAGGTCCACAATCACAGCTGTTGCCCAGCTTGGATTAAAGGGATGCCTGCAATACACATTTTCCTTTCCTCAGAAGGCAAAAAAAAAATCATTCAGGCCTTGACAAACTTTTCATCCCTAGATGGGATAAAATATCGAAATCTGCTGTAAAATAAGATTAGATAAAGAAGTTACACCTCCCTGTCTTCTGAAAGGATTCCAGCTCGTGGACAATGTTTTAATTGGCAAATCCATAATGATTTCAGTTTTGTTTTGACACAACCTGTTCATTTAATGAAATTTGCATAAAACTTATTTCCAAATAACCTTCAGCAATATTTTTCCTTGCAAAGCAGAGAGGTCCTTTTCAGAGTACAAATATGTCAAAATCCATACAAATCCCCAAAAACTTTCACTTCCACTCACACAACATTTTCCTTCAGAAACCAGTTTCAATACATGCTTTCTCCCTGCTAYTCCCAGTGACTCATAAACACCTTCACTTGATAATTACTTCTCCACTGCTGGACTGATGATGAAGGCCAGCAGGGTGTTCCTACCACAGGCAGTCCTGCCTCTGATGTCAGATACAGAACATTAACTATCATAAAACATCAGGGGACAAAAAGGACAGATGTGATGGTTTTGCTTGGTCCAGTGTTTTAGGGATGGGKGTGGAGACCATGRAAAGYCACAAAAATGGCTCCTGTGARAAGATTCTGGAARTCTTYATCACRTCCAGCAAAAAGWGCCCTSCACTGCTGTGTTTAAGGGCCAATCTCTGATGGCTCTGAAGGTGATGGACAKGCTGCTGACCAAACCTGGGCCAATTGGAGATGCTGGTTACACCTCTATGATGACATATAGTCTCATATTTAAGAATTCAAAACAASTTAATTTKCAGCAGCTGCCATTAGCACTTAGCCAGAGGTGGGGGGGAGGTAAGGAGATGTGAAAAAGAAATGGAGACTCCAAGGTCAGACGTGGTACTGACCACACCATGGGGGAGCAGGCTGTTYCCGAGRTGGAAGAAGACAGTGGGAGACCTATAGAAAGGCCCTGYTCCTGAGATAAAGGCTGGCCTTGGAGGACTGGACTGATCACAGCCTATGTGGGAGAGGTTCCCCTCACCCCTTCCTCCCCCCCATGCCTGGAGCGAGTGGATGCCTAGAAGAAACTGTGTTCTGCCAGGAGATTTGAGAGATTGGCCTTGCTCCCAGAACTAAGGCAGCCCRGCCTTGGGAGGACTGTTTCCCTTTTTGTGGACAAGGAGTCCCACGCCATCAGCAGGTTTGACACACTGGCTGTTTGTGGGAAGACCCTCACTGTGATACTGAGCAAAAAGAAGATCCTCCTTGAACAGATGGAACAGACTCATGGTGAGGAACTGACCAGAAATCTCCCACACCCTGCCCCTGCTGCGTGCAGGAAGGTGGGAGGGGTGGGGAGGGAATAAGAGAATGGTGTCTTCATGGTCCATTTTTCTTCTTGTGACCCCCTCTTACTTTGAATTAATTTCTTTCTTCCCTTTCCAGTAGTTTCTTAGTAGTTTTAGTAATAAATCTATTCTGCAACTTACGTTCCAGCCTGTTTTGACCACCATGGAGTATGAAATCTTTCTCTCAATCTGTAATCTTATCTAAAAGCCATAAATCTTTGTGTTAGTATTGGAGTTTTTGCTCTCCCCTCTACCTCTCCTGGGGGTGGGGGGGAGCATCATGGGTGCCTTGGTGTTCAGCCAGGGTTCAAACCACAACAACAGACTTGTCCCACTCAGTTGTCTTATCTACTGATCAGCTTCACTAATTAAATGCTGATGCACAATCACAGAATCATTTAGASTGCAAAAGCCYTCTAAAATCATCAAGTCCACAGCACTCCCAAGYCCACCAATAACCCATGTTCCCAAGTGCCATACCACCACATGCATATATTGTTTATCTTTTCTGCATTTGGATCATTTACTTTTTTCAGATCAGCAAAATSTTCTCTCTTCGAACCACAATGGTCCAAATACCACTATGTCCACTACATTAAAAGGAAGGCATCCCAAAAAAGGCCAGGCACRTGCTYCTGGCCACTTGCCTGAGTTTCCAYCATAAAATAACAGAAAAACCAAGGAAGAATTATGAGAACTATCAAAAGAAAGGTAAGTTGGCAAGACTAATGAGCCAGGTTGAAATCCAGCCATTGCAGCCACCTAACAAAAATTAGGGAAATTCTGGAAACACACAATTATTTGGCTGTTGATGAGTCTGCYGTAGAGAGATCAGATGGGTCTGCCCACCTAGAGATGCTCATATTGTTGAAATGTTGGATTAGTTTGTCTTGGAGGAAATTAAACAGATGGTGGGAAGAGGCAGGCATGTCTCCTGCCTGTGAAASGGGACCAGCCTGTGGAGGCTGGGCTTGCACATAATGATCTTAAATTCCTAAAACTAATGAAGTAAAAAAAATTCTCTGCAGATTCATAAGCAATACAAACACACCTGGACCTTTAAAATGTAGTTGAAGAAAAAAAAAATAAACTTCTTTGTAGTTTTTTGGGCTTTTTCAAAGGTGATCTAGAAACGCTGGTCCTGACTGGGTTAAAAATGCCTACTTAGAGGAGCCTTAGAGTAACAACTCTTCTAATCAGCAGTGACTGCAAGAAATGACAAAGACTCAACACAGTATAAAGCAGGGGCTTGATCCTTATGAGTTCCCATGGAGGTGAGCTGCCTGGGGAATTCTGAAATGCATCTTGTGCTTGCTTATGTAACAGAAAATGTGATAGCAGCYTTGTCTTGGCCACAGCCACCATTAACAGGGTTAGGCATTGGTAGGCTATATGGTATGTTAGAGATGTGCTTTACCTGCACGTATATGCCACCTCCCCTTGCCCCTTATTCATACATGTTCCCTCCCCTCTTGTCCCTCTCCCCCTGTGGGGTCAGAGTGCAGTGAGCACCCACTGCAAAAGTCCTCACCTGTCCTGGGTCCCATGTGACCCCACTTTTTCATTCTTCATGCAGAAATCAGGTGAACTCTGCAGGTAAATCAGCTCTGTCTCTTTAACTGGCCTGATATCAATATCCTTTGGCACAAGGTATTTGCGTGTGCCCATGGGCCGGTGAACGACCTTGGTGGCAGACAAATATTTGTTTTTGAGGTCCAATGCAATGTCTCGCAGTTCTTGAAGGCCTTTCCAACAGGTCTTGATAGAGCATGACCCAGAAACTCCATGGCACTTACATTTCATTTCAAGAGAGGCTTTCAAGACCTGCAAAAAGGAATGCAGGTGTTATGAGATGCCCTTCTCTGATCTCCAAACATCCCACAAGCTTGCTAATGAAGGCACTTCCTTAGCAGGCACGGCTGTAGGCATTTCTGCACAGGCAGTCCAGAGTAGCTACTTTGCAAATGGAATGGGATCCTGCAAATCCCTGATGATCACTGTCAGCCCAGGACTACTTTCACAAGGGCTCCTTTGCAGCCAAAAGACRGAAGAGTGCTTTGGCTTTTGATCAGATATCTATCTTTGGCTGCATTCCACCCTCTAAATTCTGAAGGAGATGAAAATAAAAAAACATTCCATAAACAGATAATTAACATCAATTTCAKCTTCCAGCAGCTTTGGGCTTTGGTAAGAGAGAGGTCATGGCTTTGTTTTGAATTCAGGGCATTCTCTCCCTACCTTTCTGCTGGTCACAGGGCCAAAATAACCTTTTACTTTGATTCTGGACTATTCTCATTTTGATGAGACGTGGCAGATGCTGCTAGGAAGGGCTGAGTGCATCAGCCATGACAAACAAAAATTTGACCTTTGCAAYTGAAGCAAAAATTCATGACATTGCAAAAATAAAATTTACAAAACCTCCAAACCCCAACCAAACAAACCAAATAGTGTGGAAATAGCAGGGGGAAAAAAAAGAGAACCAGTGAGGCTAAGTTCAGCATGTCTGTGCTTTGCAAAGATGGAATCAGCCTGTAGCTACACAGCAAGCTACCAATGAGCTCAACATGCTCCAAGTTTTGTGTGCACAGGCAGCTCTGGAAGGACCGAGCTGTCCAGAAGAAGCAGTCTATGGAACCACTGGAGCCCCAGAAATGGGTGCAGGGGTCAGTTTTATAGCTCCCCATCCATTTCTTCAGCTGCGTGGAGGGCTATTAGAGGGATTTGCACCGCRGTGCTCACCAGGCACTGCACATGGTAAGCATTATCCCTCCAYTGGATGCAAGCTGTTAAAAGCAGCTTGTGCCAGATATGAGAAATATCACTAGCACAGCAGTTTAAAAAGGAAAAAAATCCTCCCTCCTGGCTGCAGGGATGGCTGGAGGCAGCTGCTGCTGGATGCATGTAGCTGATGATAATCCTCCACGCTTACACAGCACTTTGCCTGCACAACGCCCTTGGCAGAGCACGACGGGACCCATCCCACTGCACCTCCTGGGGTAAGCAAGCCAGAGCCAACCTGGACTGTGCAACAGGTGCTAATGATACATCCCACCCATGGTTAAACTGGGCTGGTAATAGCATCTGGGACCTCCTGAGTCACTGGGTGAGTTATACAACCACAATTTTCAGCAGGCCAAAGGAGTCCAGAGCAATCTGAGAGAAATCTGTCCTTTCACTAGCTGGTAGAGACACTGAACCTCACAGAGGGACCAACACTGCAGATGATTGTACAAGTACAATAACTCTTGTGGATTTGTTACCTGTCTCCCTACTTCACTGTTGTGCAGATGCATCAGTTTATTGGCTTGTGATCCTGATTTTTTCATCTTCATGGGAGCATCTGAAAATTTGGACCCCATGATAAGACCATAGTTGAGGTTGTCTGCACATCCTCCCCATCGATACCCAGGTCCAGGTGTCTCACCTGGGATGGGACCACAGGAACAGCCAGGGAGGTCCCCGGAGGTGCAGGCTCTGGCAATGGTGTGGCTGATGGCAGCAGCAGAGAGGGCATACACAAATGCTGACTCCCTTGTACCTGAAAGAGAAGAACTTGAGCTCAGCCTCTGGGCCAGGTAAATATTCCCCAAAAAGACACTCACGCAGTCTGTGTCCCACAGAGCAGCCCACACTCAYTGCAGTTAAGATGTCCCATGGCACCACCATCTCCCAAATGAGCTCTTCAACATAAGGCAACATCCCAGCAGGGCAAGGAGTCACRTGGATTTAGGCAACTTGTTCATTGTGATGTGATCTGCTCTTGGAGCATGTGGAGAAGCCCTTCCCTGGACTCTCCTGCCTCCTTTTGCTCCTGTGCTCCTCCCATGACTCCCAGYGGGATGAGCAGACCAGAATGCTGGTCAGCTTTGTAAGAGTTGTGGTAGACCAGGTCTTGGACATGACTGGCACCATGGTGATGAACAGTCTCAGAGAACAAGGCAAGCAGGCTTTGGAGTCCCTCCACATCCTCCCAGGAGCAACACCCTTCCCGTCTCCACTGCACACACACACCCACATGCACGTTGGCTGCCTCTATTCACTCCAGTCCCAACTGAGCCAGCAGCACTCTTTACCTTTCTCTAARTCCAGCAGGTAGTTAGGAGCCAGCTCAATTGAAGAGCAGTTCCACCGCATGTCTGAGAAAGTTTTACGGCAGATCTTTATCACTTCCCGTGCTGCCTGAATAATGGTCTGCATSAGCTCCAGGTTGCTGCGGCACAGCTGCACCTGAGAAACCACCAGGCCTTCGAGCTGCTTGCAGTGCTGGGTTTGATTCAGGGCCAAAGCTGAGGGAGTCTTAGACAGAGCTCTGAGGAGACAAGAACATGCAAAAAAGCATTAAAGCACATAAAAAAAATTAACCTTTGGGTTAATATTAATTTCTGGACTTCTAGTGCAGTGAGCAGCRTTCACCTGACTTAATTGAAGCTTTCTGTAAAGAGGTGCCTAGATAAAGCTGGTGAGAAAAATGAGCAACTATGAAAAGTGATTTATTTAATATAAAGTAGGCATTTAAGTGAGGTGGGAAGAAACACCCTCTAGAAGTGTGCAATTCTCTCCATTATCTAGGGGAGTCTACACAAAACTCCGTGGGCATATGCCAAGTCAACTGGATGTGTCAATCCTGTGGGAAGGTTTTCTGCTGAAGAATGAAGAGCACAGGCCTCCCAACAGAGTGAAAAATGACCCATCAGTTCCATGATATAAGAAATCTGGATCCTCCAAAACTGTGGTGTTTGGGGAAAAAAAGCGATGGTGTTATCAGCATTTTGCATTCAGCATCTGTCTAACACACGCTCAAAGGATTATGCTAAATGTCATGTAATTAATTACGAAGAAAATCCCCTGCGAGGCCTAGAGAAAAATCACCAAATTTGCAAAACATATGCTTTCACTTAGAGTTAATGCCAAGGGCCTCCACTGATTCCATCATTGTTGCACATTGTCTGTTTCTCTAGTCTCTGAAAACCATAGTGCAAAAGCTCAGTGGGAGYATGTGCAGAGGAAGTACCACAGTCAAATCCAAGAAAGGATCCATGAACACGAGCAAGAATGTTACCATGGAAGAAAAGAACAACACTCCAAAGTGGTGGCTCTTCCAGTGTCCAACTGCCAAACTTTCCAGGTTAAAAAAGAACAAATGCTGCAATGCATCTTACAGGCTGTGCTTTCCTTCACCCACAATGATCAGCAGAAGCCTGGTATGTACTCTCTTTGTATCTTTATGGCTTTCTTAGGGTAGTCATAAAAGTTATTCCTTCCCATAAAACAACTTTCTAGCTGGCTGCRCCAATAACTGGCATTGAAGTTGTGCTGATCCTGGCAACACAACTTTAACACAAATTTTTTTCTCTCATTGTTAAATGTGTTGGCTTTCAGATTAATCCCAAGTCATCTTGGTTAGTTTGGCTTATTAGCAAACACATTTCTGGGTGCATTTCACTTTATTGCTGTAACATCTACATCCCTCAGAAGTTAAATGAGATGGAAACAGAGCTTAAATTGAGCCCTAACCAAAATGAAGTATTAACTCTGATCTTCTGTTTTCCAGAAAATGTATCTATTCCACCAGYTCCCTCAGGCTGGCTTGAACCAGATGCTGTGTATGTTGGAGCTCTCTTGGGGCTGCACATAACTGCAAACTCAACCACTCTTCCAAGCAGGGAAAAGCTACAGTCCTTGCTGGGGCTGAATAGGTCTGCRCTGACATATTCCCAGGTGACTGGAGACTGGCATTTCTGGCACTAGATAATCAGTGGCAAACTTGGAAGGGAAACCACCACTCTGCTAGCTATATAAATATACACATCATGCACATATTTAAGAGGTCTGTTAAACATACTGCAAACAGAAGTCCTCGCCAGTGAATTTCAAGGGAAAGGAAAAAGTAGTGGACTTGGCAGTGTTAAGTTATTGGTTGGACTCAATGATCACAGAGATCTTTTCCAGCCTAAATGATTCTATGATTTAATCATCAGAGATTCTGCTCTGTGGATCATCTTGGTCCCTTACACACTGGTGTTCATGCATTTTTCCATGTTTGGAGAGAAAGCAACTCATCCTGCCTTAGCTGGGACCCTGAGCTGGTGGAGACAAAATGTGTTCATTATTTACTGGGTGTGCAGGTATCTCAAACAAATCATGCCCTGGAAGGGGGCATGAGTTTCTGAATAGTATGACCACCACCTGACTGCAAACCCCTACAGTGTAGACCTCACAGTAGTCCTTCAGGGCCCTTCTTTAGCCCATCGAAAGCAAAAAGCCACATCTAGGAAGCAGTTAGCCTTTAGTGCTTTTTGAGACCTACAATAAGATACTATCATGACTTAGAAGTGCTTATTTTCTGCACTATATAGAAAACCCAGACACACCGAGCAGGGACACAGACATCTGGATGGTATAAGCACAGAGCTGGATGAGATATGTCCAACCCCTAGCACTTGACACCAGGGATCTGTGAAAACTTATCCCAGAAAGCCTATCAGCAACTCCCAGGAATGGGCTGAAAAAAAATCAGGCAAGAGGCCAAAGCAGCTCATCAGTAATAGAGTAAAAATGATAAATACTCCAGCACAGCATGTCCCAGCCACAAGGGAAGCAGGCAGGGTGCGGCAGGAGAAGTGAGAGAGCTTCACAGCCTTAGCTTCAGGCAAATGAGGAACATTCCAAGTCTCTGAGAGAGGCTTTACTCTGAGGCACCAGCTCAGTTTTCTAATCAGAGGTGTCAGGTGACACTTGAGAKGCCTTGGGATGTTTTAGCTGTCCTTGCAGAAGGATGCATATATGTCCTAGGTCCTGCACCACGTTTTCTGATCCTTTATAGAAATCTTCAGCATCTTTAAAGTACCTGGAAGGATACCTTGAGGCACCTCTATCTCACCATTACAGACAAGTCATGAACAGAAATAAACACCAACAGGTTGAGAYGAAAGCTCAGTTCAGACTGAAACTCATTCTCAATGTGAAAAGAAATGGGATATGGTGCAATGAGACTGTGTTATTATATCACTTCAGATGGCCTGAAGTGATCACCATTAAAGAAGCAGGTTTACAATGCAACATGGAAGCCATTTGCTTCATAGAAGAAAAAAAAATAAAAATATGTTCCCGTTGGTGAGAACTCAGTAAGCAGCAGCAGTGGCTGTTTCGTGCAGAATGAGCTGAGCTCCAGGAAGCCCACCAAGAATAAAACTGCAAGATGCAGGAAGGTGTTTTTGAACATCTCTCAGGCCTGAACTTTACACCTTGGCTTGTGAGAACCTACAATTGGAAACATCTCAAAGCATCAGGAGGAAAAAGTAAAAGGTAATGGAGATGGAAAAGAAAACTTAGCTACTGTAGTCACTTGCTGAGACTGAAAAGTGCATTAATAAATCACAGATCAGGAAGGTGAGAGGCCTATTAGGCCGTCAAGTCCATGCCCTGACAACCCAGGTTTGTTCAGTCTCTGTCCTACATTCAGAAATATCTTCTCCAACCCATGTCACTCTAAACCCTMCCTGTGGAATGCACCCCCCTCCCCTGCTTCCTAAATTCTGGCAGCATCAGAGGATGGATACCCACTGCCTGCAAAGACATTCTTGGGAAAAAAATGTCCGTTTGTAGGGCAGTGGAAAATAAAACACTTTTCCCCAGGAGAGTCTGGTCCATGATAGGATTTGGTGGTGGGTCTCTGTCCTATTTGTACCCAGTTTCCACCGAGCACCAGCACCAGGAGAGAAACAGGAGTCAAAGGGGCACAGCCAGCCTGAAAAACCAGCTCTCAAGGGCATAGCTAGCAGAACTGCCTCCATTCCTCAATCTGGGAAAAAAATCCCTGACAAACATCTTTCTATGGACTCAATCCCTTCATCTGAAAAGGGGATGTCACCTGCTTCCACCCTGTAAATACTGTTTTTCACATTTCCTGCTGATAACATCGTGGTCTTCYTCCTTAATTCTCCCACCCCATCCTTCATTCTCCAGACAACTGAGGGGTGGTTGTTTCAGGGTTTTTTTTAAAGACACATATTCGACCMATCTCTTTAAATAAATAGGGACTAAACCAAACATCTCCTGCTCTATACATAGCCCAGCAGGTCTTGCAATTGATGTTACGGATACTGACAGAAAACCACAAACATAATTACAGAGGAAATATGATTCATGGATGATCATGACATTAGTTTACTCTTTTCGTTATCTCAGGCAGTTAATAAATTCATTCGAAAATATGAATGATTTGTAGTGTTAGATCCTTTGAGAGGTATGGGCCCATTCCTACATATGTGGGCTCCATGAAAGGACTTTTCATAGCAGCTGCAGCTCAGGAAGGACCTTCAGTTCTCAGCAAATGTCAATGAAAGCCACACATAATTTGGTTTACAAGGTACACTGTGAGTAGGACACTGCTCCAGGTCAACCCAAAGGGAGAAAAAATCCTTGAATTGAGCAGCAAAGCACTGATGTCCTTTAAAAAGCCCTTGAAGGGTGGAAGAATTTCTTCTCTGGAGAGATCTCCCCATCCTCCCTTGTGTGACATGATCTGGAAGGTCTCACAAAGGGACTGCTGGTGAAACTGTGAGCTTCTAGTCCATTCTGCAAGGCACTCTTTTCAATACCTACTCCTAAACCCCTTAATCTTGCAGGGATCTGGGTGAAACAGAAGAGATTTAGACAAAATTACATGGCCGTGGAGAGTGATGTGTGTGGGAAATGTTAATAAAGAGAGGCAGAGATGGAGGGTTCTTTTTAAATTTTATTCCATTGAAGGTTTTTAATCTGCAGGAGCCTCATTTTTTCAGGTTATCATGTRGAAAAGGCTGGCAGGAGTGTTACAATAACCTTGTCTAATCTCCTGGTAGCCAGACGCAGCCCATGCYGCTGCCACCCTGCCCTGCATCAGTSCCAGTYTGGGGACCARAASGGGAATGTGRTGTCCTGGGAGAGACACCACATCYCTAGTAAATGCTCCCCCAGGTTCTGCAAAGCCTTTTCAAACAGAGAAGGAAGATTTATGTGGTTAAAAAAAAAATGAAAGAAAGAGGAGGAAGAGGGAGAGAAGTGTGTGGGTGTGGAAATCAACCCTGAAGTAAAAGCTTAAAATAAAAGCTGCTTTCAGATATGGTGCCAAATTCAGTGCTGGCAGTAGTGGGCACAAGGCCATTGATCTTGAGCCCAAGCTTGACTGAAGTTGATGCCAGCACTGAGTTGGCTCACTGAGCACTGAGGAAGGCCATGGAGYTTTGTGAAGTTTTCCTGAGCTGCCTATGGAGTGGAGAGCAAACTTCAAAGACGTGGTACCCCCCTCTCTCGCCCCCAGCCTACTCCACTCCTGCCATCCCCATCCTGCAGCCCTTTCACAGCAGCTCATCTGGCAGTCCCTTGCCAGGCAGACAGTCTCCTCTCGGGTGCCCATGTCCTCATGTCCCAACTCCCTCCCACCACTGACTGAAGGAGAAAAGTAGGAGCTGCCAGGAAGGATAAAATCTTTCAATTTTCTCCCCTGCTTTCTGCTGCCTGCAGAAGGGTTGCTCAAGGCTGGTGGGCTTGTGTTCATGAAAAGGTGTGGTTAAGCCACTTTTTGCTTCTGAAGGGCTGCAATCGAACCATAGGAATTGTGCACCAATAACTGGGAATGGCTCCAGAGTCCATGGGGCCTGACTGGGTCACCACAACAAAGACAGGCAGAGACTTTCCAAAGCTTCACCTAAAAATGATGGTATTCCTAATGCCAGCACTTGCTGTCCTGGGCTTATTCTGCAAGCCATGAAAAAAAACCCAAAAAAAACAAAACCCAAATCACTTGCTGCATTTGGCTTATTTACAACCACTCTTGCAGTGAAGGTGACGCTCAATACAGAGGGACAGAGGAAATCCCAATTTCTGTGAAGGCAGAAGTGCCTCAGAAGCTACTCTGTGCCTGGACATCCCAACATCTGCAGACCTCTGGGGTGTGCACATCTGGACGCAGCTACCCCTAGTGCACATCTATTTTTCAGTTCTACCCAAATAAGTAACTCCAGCACCTGCTTGGTCAAAATCAAACCCTCCTGGGGAAGCTGAACGGGTTGCAAAAACAGATAAGGAAGGTGAYAGAATTCCTAGATGCATTGGCCCTAAGACGTGGAATCCATCCCATGGAAAACAAAGGGTGCCTCACCTCTTCAGCCACTGTGACAGAACAACACTGAACACCATGAAATGATGCAACCTCCCCACATACCCACCTTGCTCCAAGGATGGAAAAGTGTTTGCAAAAATAACACTCAGATTCTCACATACATTGATGAGAAAGGCTGCCTCTCCACAACAAAAGCGAAGATCTGGAGCCATATTTTGGAGTCATACTCTGGCTTTACACCCAAGCAGCTCTCTGGAGCTCAGATGGAAGATATTAATTTCTCCATCAGCAAGAGCATGTATGCAAGATGCTGACTGTTCACACACCATGCTGGATGTTTGGTGGCGCCCAGTACCAATTTACAACAGCTGGCTATCTGGACCACATAAAAATAAGCCAAGTAAAATAATTAACTCCTTTTTTCACCTTCTCCCTGCTTTTACTAATTTATGGGATATTTGTGTTACTGAGAAGTCCTAAATGGTTGAAATGTGTGTTTTTCTTCTTCCTCTCCCCCCGCAATTACATCACGCGCTGAATCGAAGTTGAATTTCCTATCGCCTTTCATATCAGTCTCTCCCTCATCTCCAGGCYGGTGAAACCCACCTCCTTATCTCCCCCTTCCTCTCCCAAATCCTCTTTGAAGCTTGGCTCTGGCACCATGCCAACAAAAACGACACCRTGGGCAGACTGCTGAGAAAAGTCCACAATTGAAAACATCACATARCACTTTCCTCCTTCATCCCATCCTTTTTTCCCCCTTCTCCAACAAAAAGCAAGAGAGGAAAGGAGCAGATTYCAATTGCACAGCACCCAGAATGTGAGTCCAGGGCTGGGATTGCAGGTCTGAGGTACTACACAGTATTTGTTACTCTATTTACCAAAAACTTACCCAAGCAATTTCAAAGCACAGTCCCTGTCCCAAGGAAAAAGAGTGATGGGGAGCAGGGAAAATTTGCCTGTGTTTCCACAGAAAAACAAGGGTAGGGAAATGAGGAGCAGCAAATTAAAGAAAAACCCAATATAATTTTGTGAAATCCCAGCTGGAAGCATCCCAGTTGCAAAGTGCAGTGGACAGGGAGTACAGGTCTCTGCCAGGTTTTAAACAGGTGTGAGAGGAGCTCCGTGGCACATCTGGATGCAGTTCATGCTTCAAATGCCACTTTAATCCCAGCTTTCATCTTCCCCACTTGCATTTTGATAGGGAGGATATGTCTGCTGGGAAGGGGAGGAGCAGTGACTGTGATATCTTGCCTCCAACTGYTTCTCCCCTCACCCATCCCCAAAAGCAACCCTTGCAGTTTAACCACTTAGTGGCCAAAAGGCTGCTTTTTTTTCAGTAAAACTATTAGGGACCTTGCCCCACCCCCCAGCATTTTTTCATGTCTATGGCCTGACACTAGACTGTCAGATTCCCTGTGGAGTTCATCTTGCCCCTGTCCTTTGGAGGAACCCAAACCCCTCGCTTGTGATTTAGCACCTTGCCTAAGTGGGACCCCAGTGCCAAGCACATGGGCAAGCCTCTCCAGTCAGTCATAGTTCTACACATGTACTGAATTAGGGTGCCACAAAACAGCTTTTTTTGTTACGGTGCATAGAAATAAAGGTTGTGAAGGAGTCCCATGGACGTGTTGCCAAATGTCCTGTAGAAAGGAGATGCCTGCCCTGTGCAAGGTGTTGGATATAGGCAGAGCTGAGAGCCTAAATACTGGAGGAAGCTGGCAGAAAGAAACAGCTGGGCTATGTAATTGTGCTCTGCTGACTACTGCAAGGTATAAAGCCAAGACAACGAAGAGCAAACCAGATTCTGACTCTCCTCTACTTCCCAGATGGTTCTTAGAGTATGGAGATAGCAATTGAAAGATTATGGAATGGTTTGGGTTTGAAGGAACTTTAAAATTCATCTAGTTCCAACCGTCCCACCACAGACAATGATGCCACCCACTATATCACCTTGAAAGATGCACTAAAGTAGGTGACTATTCCTCCCACCTGTCCACATGCATATAAACACCCCTCTGGAGGGATTCACTCTGCTTCTCTTTAYGGATATAAAAGGCAGATGTGTAATCGCTAGCAGTACATGGCATCACCAGATGATAAAACTTAATGTTTCTCTTGGATGTCTGTTTGGAGAAGGTGAATTGCCATCTGGAAGATCCTCTGTTCCCTGACTGCATGACRTGCAGTAAAAACACCTGCTGCAGTTTCACCACCTAACCCAAAGATCCTTGCCTCAATGCACTRCAGAGTCCTCCTGTCATTGTATGTTATTGTGCCTTTTCTTTTACTGAAGATGCTCATTTGAGGCAAAYTCACATTCCCTTATTTACTTTGTAACCAGCTCCAAACCCAAGTAGAAAAAACAGATCACTCATGAAGGACATGAAAACAGATTRGTGTTGGAGTGGCTTGTTTGTGTATTTTGCAGCAAGCAACTAACTGCTTGCTTAAGYAAACAAGTGAGATAGTGATGTTTTCACTTTGCAGCGAACATTACCTGCAAGGAAACTCAATCCAGATGTGACCACAGTCCCTGGTATTTCTTTACCCTCCTCCCCGCTTCTCACCTCATTTTAACACCCTTCACAAAATCCAGAGGTTAAAAGGTCTGCAAAACCCCCATGTCATCTGCTGAGCACCCCCTATCGTTGGAGACTCGGGGCATTATCTCAGCTGCYTACTGCTCTCATCTACTCAGCACAACCAGTGCTCCTGGTGGGAGAGTTYCACAGCATGGCAGCAGCTAATGCCAGAAACTTCATTAATTGGCTCATGAGAACRTTCAAGTGTGTGCCTTTCCCTTGGCATCAATGAGAAGAAAAAAAACCAAGTGAACCTAAATCATGCATATTTTAGAAAGAAGATGGAGACATATTGTTAGCATAAGCCCCTAGTATACACACTTGAAATCAATGAATGCCTGGAGAACTGCAGTGTTTGCTGCTCTTTAAATAGCTTTACAGCATGCCTCAAACAGCAGTTGTACAAACGGGTAAAAGACCAGCAATTCCTACAAAAACATTAAAATGTAGAGATAGAGCCAGGTACTTACATCCATTTTATCCCAGAGCAAAGCCTTGTCTGCAGAATCAACAGAAAACCAGCTAAGAAAAATTGCAGACTTGGCTTCATTTTCTGCACCTTCTCCAATTTGCCGAAGGAAATCAGCTTCTTCAAAGAATTTTTCTTTTAAAAAAAAGGTTTTCCTAATATTTAATGCAATGTATTTTCCTTCAGTTTGGGTWTTGCTCGTTCTTGGAGGTGAACAACCTGAAAGAAGAGAGAGAAAGAGCCTGAGCTATGGCTAACTCTGAAGTTTAGTGAGTCACTGCGAGAGAGAAATCTATTATCCAAATTGCAAAGGAGTGGTTTACGAATCACGAAAAGGTTTGGATTATCCCTTCTCAGTCCCCTCCCTTGCCAAGCCTTGATACAACCTTTTGAGTCAACAGACAGACAAACCGTATGGGTTGAATTACACACTGAGTTATGGTCCGATTGTGTGTTTCCATTTAACCCTACACATGGCAAGACTTCATTCGCTGCTTCACTTTAGTGAGGTATTTTTTCTCCCCCTCTCCAAAAAGTCTGTGTAACTGATCAGGAAGAAGGAAGGAAGGAAAAAAAAAAAGATAGCTCTCTGGACTAGCCCAAATCTTCAGCTATTCATCTCTCCTCTCTCCTGCTTTCTTTTTCCTCTCTCTTTTTCTGCAGAGAAGACAAATTATAAAAACTGCATTTCCCTGCTTAATGCAGGTGCCCATGCCCTGCAGACTTTCTTTCTGATCTGTTACAACAAATGTGTTTTGCTCTTTACCTTTTGCTTTTCTTCTCACCTCATTAACTCTGCCTCTCACTTCTTCCAAGTCCTTGGCACCTGGAGCTCAYGGAAAAGGCTGCAACTTTGTAAACATAAAATCCCATTTTTGTCTCCAGGGAGCAAGCCGGGAGGAGGCAAAAAAAAAGCTCTCAAGGATTTCCCTTCCACYCCTTTTCTTTTTGTTGTTTTTCCCTTCTTCAGGCTAAACAAATAAACAAACCAGCTGCAGGACTTAAATTCTTAGAGGGGTGCTCTCTGTCTCCAGTGCACAGCTTGCTTATTTTAGCAGCAGTATTAATAGCAGTTAATGGGTTTCCTTTCAGTTATTCCCTTCAGACACCACTCTGAGCTGCTTTTTTGTGGTCTTTGCAGTGGTTTTCCACCCCATGAGAAAKCCAACATTAAAACAAACAGAAAAACCTGCCCACCCACCACATTGCATCTCTGGAGTCCCACAGCCCATCGCACAGCACATGGGGATACCCAAACTGTAACTGTGCATCCCCCCACACCACCCCCTCAAAGGGGTTTGGGAAGGGACTGGGAATGGCTGGAGCAGTCACCTTCACTTTGGGAAACCCCTCACCCTGGAAAAAGAGTATCCTACCTGATCCCCAGCTCTGGATTTGCACAGCTGCAGCTTTCTGTCTCAATATCCCCATTTGGGGAGCAACTGGGTTGGGGGGAATGGATGTTTCTGGGTGTTTTGTCTGCCATCTGCAGCATMTTTTTCCATTCAGGCAGCTATTTGGCTATCCCAATCCCAGCTCCTGGTGTAAAGGGTTACTAGAGAAGCACTGTTATTACAAAGGATTTTAATAACCTCTAGAGGCGAGTCCCCGCTCCCTTGAAGTCTGAGACAAAAATGACTGCCTACAAGGGAGGCAGGATTTCATTGCCATGGATTGTTTTGCTTTAATGCCCRCTTGGATTTGGGCTTGATGCATCCCTTGAAGGCAGTGCTCCCACAAGCATCCAGGCATACATACTTCTTGCCTCAGAGTATTTCTGTATCTTTTTATCTTTGGGAGCCCTCATCTTCCCACCTCTCCACAAGCACACAGGAAACCTTCTGCCCTTAATCCTGCCAGTGTGTTTCATTGTCTATTTAGATGTTTCAGAGCCCTTATTTCACTCCTGTGAACTGCTGGACAACACAAGAATCAGTTCAAAAATGCCTAAAACCCCCTCACTAAACCTGACCAGCAAACATCATTCTCTATTCCCCCACCCTCCCTCCCTGTTTCCTTGAAAATGTCACAGTTGTGATTTTTTCAACCCCTGGAGAGGAAGAGAATAGATCTAATTCTCCCATACCCACCCAAAGAATGTGAGCTTGGCCTGCAATTGCACCCCTATTATTTGGGGAGGTAATAATGCCTTTTTCCGCTCAGTCCAGCACAGGTTATATTTGCAAGAGCAATTTGCAAGGGGAGGGGAGGGAAACGCTTTGGGGCAGATGTGATGTTTACAGTTCTGGAGAGTTCTGGGTCACTGATCAAACCAACAGCAAGTGGCCTGTGGACTCCTTAAAAGAGAAGCTTTTTTTTCAAACCTCTTTCACCTCAAAGCTGTTTGCAGCCAGCCCCACACTGGCACACAGAAAACACCCCTATCACCTCCAAGACTCCAGACTCAGGGATGGGAATAGGCAATTTTAACTGTATATAAACCTGTGAGTATTCAGCCACATTTTTACAGTTTTCCCACCCAAGAAGAAAAGACATCCACCTGATCCTGCTGSCAGCCTGCAGCTTTCTCCAGGAGCWCAACGGCCTCGTTTAGGGGTAGCACATCCCCAATGACCTGCAGTGAGGACTGGGAGCAGGGAAAAGGAACAGAGGGTGGTGGAGCTGATTCCARGGGATCTCCCCACTTCCTTGCTGCCTTCTGTGTYTCCCTTCTCCCCTGCAGCCCCTGGGTGTCCCCTCTACYTTGCAGCCTCCCTGACTCCTCTTTCCACTGCAGCTCCTTGCATTGCCAGGCACATTTGCAGCTCCAAGTCTCCCCTCTGCCTTCAGTCCCTGAATCTCCTGTCTCCCAGCTGTTGGGTCTCTCCTCTCCCATGCAGCTCATCGGTCATGGGTATCTACACGCTCTGGGTCTCCTTCTGCCCTGGGTCCTCCCCTCTCTCCTGCACTCACACTGCCCCTCGCCAGGCCTCAGGTCTCTTMATTCAGCCGCTGAGTCTCCTCCCTCCTTGCATTCCCCAGGGTATCCCCTCTCCCCTGCAGTCTCCAAGCCTCCTTTCTCCCTTGCATTTCCCAGGTTCTCCCCATTCGTCCTTTCACGTCTCCCTTTTCCTTGCAATCCTCCGGGTCTCTCCTCTCCCTCTCCCTCTCCTCTCCTCTACCTTGCATCCTCCAGGTCTCCCTTCTCCCTTGCAGTCTCCAAGCTGCCTCTCTCCCTGGCATTCCCTAGGTCTGCTTTGCAACCTGTAAGAATCTTCTCTCTCTAGAAACCTCTCCCTCCTCCCATGCATTCCCCCGGAATGCATCCCCTCTCCTTGAAATCCTCTCCACGCCTCGCAAATGCCTGTTCTGGGCCAGCCCCGCACCTCTGGTGTTTCGAGGGTCCCCTTCCCACAGCTCCCGGCACGGCTCGCACCCCTCKGCGGTCCCCGCTTACCTCCGCCCGGGGACCGGCACCGCTCTGACGGGGCGGCCCCGGAGCCGCCTTATATGCGGCCCCCTCGGCTTTGATATGCGGAGTGATGTCAGCTCGGATTAGCATAACAAAAGGCTCCGCGCAGCGCGGATGCCACCGCGGGCAGGGCCGGGGCTTGGCGGGGCTCGGCTGATCCCCCTCCCCGCGTTCCATCCCCTGTGAGCGGGGCCGGGCGAGCGGCGATCCGGCGGGGCTCAAGGGTGTCACTGTAATGAGCGGTTAATGCAGCAATGATTAGCAATAAAAATAGCGAGTTGGTGTTTTCTCCGGAACGTGAGCGCTCCCGAGGGTGCGATCCCTGCCCCGGGAACGGACAAGGATTCTCGTCACCCTGGGGCTGTCAGGTAGATTTGGTTCTCCTGCGAGGATAAGGAACCTCCGCCCGGCAGTTCCTGCTCATGTCCTACCTCACCGTGTCCTGCTGTCAGCCTGCAGTCACACAAMCTCTTCTCTGATCTGTCTGGGATCGGTGGAAAGGGCAGATGTTCAAGTCTGGTTTTGCTTTCAGGTCGGTTTCAGGGTGAGAGGCTTGGTGGTTGCGTGCTAGAGAAAGAGGAAGAGGAAGGAAAGTATAAAGAAAAAATGAAAAGCAAAGAAAGCGGGGGCAAATAGGAAAGATRGTAAAAAAAAAGGAAAAGAAGGAAAGGAAAAAGGAAAATGATGCAAGAAAAGACAAAAGGTAAAAAGATAAAAAAGGAAAAAGAAAGAAGAATGACATGAGAAAAGAGGAAGGGAGAAAAAAAGCAAGAAAATTAAAAAATTAGAAGAAAATAGGAGACAATTAAAAGAGAAAAGGGAAAAGGGGGAAACGTAAAAAGAACAAAAAAGAAAGAGAATAAAAGGAAAAATAAAAAAAAATCATAAAAAAAGAAAAGTAAAATAAAAAAGGAGGGAAAAAGGAGAAAGGATACAAGAACAAAGGAAACAAAAATGTGCAAAGAAGGAAAATAAGAGCAAAAGGAAAAAAAAAAATTGAAGAAAATATTAAGATAAAAACCCTATAAGAAAGAAAAGCTCAACTGGCTTCTGGACATAAGGCCTYATGGGTCTGAATCTGTCAGCTATGGGCTCTAAAAAAATGGATGCTGATTGCAAACGCACTGGTGTAATTTTTTCATTTGGTTTAATTGTGGGTTTCAGGTGAAAGCAAAGAATAAATGTTTTCGACTCTGGATCAAGAGACTCAGAACAGTTTCCTTAAGGTCTATTTTCAGGACAACTATTTATATAGGATAATTTTTTAATGTATGTGTCCCTGTGCTGATTGCACTCATATACACAAGTTGCAAAAGGTTCTTTGTGAACAGCAAAGAATCCTGTATACACAATCCCAAATTCCCAAAGACACCATATTGTTTGTTTAAGACCCACTTTTGCCAGCAGCTTTGCACAGTATGTCCATTTTTCTTCATATGACAGTTGCCAAGAAGTACTCAAACTGCTCCAAACTTGTATTTCCCTGACCTGCCTCCCATCCCACTGACCCCCAAAAATGTGCACCTACGAGGAGGAGGTTTTGTCAGGGTTCTCCAAGGAGGACTTGTTTACATGGGGAAATTGCTGGGTATATCTATTGCAGYCTGAATTGCTGTCTAAATGCTCTGATCTCTGTATAAATAGACTTTTTTGAAACTACCTTAATCTTTAAAGGACAGAATGGAAAATGTAGTTGTTATCAGTCAATAGGAATAGAAGTAGTAAGTCGCACTAGTTATAATATTCAGGATTATGCAGTAGGTACCTGCTGTGCTCAGAACTGTGCAAACAATATAGCTACATGAGTCCTACCAGTGGATCTTCATATTGSTGCTCAGAGGTGACTGGCAAAACATGATGATGTAGAGGAAGAATATGGAAAGAAGGAGATGGGTCAAATCTACATGGTTTTCTTGAGCTCTRACTGTTTGTTAAGGTTCAGAATCACAGAATCATTAAGGTTAGAAAATCCCTGTAAGACCATGGGGTCCAGCACTGCCAGGGCCATCACTAAACCATGTCTGACATGCTGGGGAATCATTTAAAAAAAGGCATTGGAGTACATGTATGTAGTGGTTGCAGTGTGCATGGGTGCTGCTTGTCCATGCATTATCAGGACAGAAGGACATAGGAGATACAAGTGAAAAGGTGGGACAAAGAGTAAGAAGGCAAATACGCTCTGGACTATCCACAGGCATATAGGGAGTTRTGCAGGAAGAGCCTTGGGAAATTTAAAACCACTCCAAACCTTTCATTTGGGACAATTTTGTGCAGACAAGCCCCCAGCTCCTGACAGGCCAAACTATTTCAGCACATATTTAAATACTCCTCATGTGACATATTGCGTTCTAAGTGTTTTGGTAACTCAGGGAAATACATTGTCAAAATGTTGCAGTTTTTCATCTGCAGGGGTCTGCTCCTCATGCACACATTGGGATGTGGGTCTGGTGGCAAAGCACGGGTGTTTTTGGTTCACCTGGAAGGTAGGGAGCTGCCAAATTGTGCATGTGGGTTTTTTTTTCACAGGGCCTAAATGCTGAACCAGTGACCTAAATCTAAAAGTTTAGCARTTGTTAAACTTTCCTACTGCTTCTATGGGTCAAAACTATTACCATTTTAATCAGCAGAAGACATGATTCACCATTTTTTGTGGGATTTTCATAAAACAGAACCTGTCACACCAGTGTGACATTTAACAGACCAGATCTGGGGCTTTCCATTAGCATTTAAGCCCCATGAGAAGCAAGTGGATATTGAGCAAACAACCCTCTTTGACTTTGCAGACTGCACACATAGAGTGTGGCTGTATTAGCAGAAGTGGAGGCAGCTAGATGGTATTTTCTGGACTGCATTTCCTAATTGACCTAATTATTAGACTTGAATGTTTGGAAAATCATCCTCTTGCTAATATTTAGAAATACCTTTGGGGTCCTATGAGAAATTCATTAGCATGTCAGAAAGACAACTGGACTGGAAAATAAGGCTTTATTGTCATCTATTGCACTAGGTAACCGCCGAAACTCGAAGACCTCTCCAAATCTACCAGCAAGTCCTTGCAGGATTTACAAAGCGTGTCTATGGAGTTGAGACATAGAATCATAGAATCATTTAGGTTGGAAAAGCTCCACAGGATCATCAGGTTCAAGTATTCCCCCAGCACTGCCAGGGCCACCACTAATCCATGTCCCACATCCACACAGCTTTTAAATCCCTCCAGGRATGGGAACTCCAACACTGCCTTGGGCAGCCTGTGCCAGGGCTGAACAACCCTTTAGGGAAAGAAATTTCTCTTAATATCCAACCTTACCCTCCCATAGTGTGAMTGGAGTCCATTGTTCTGGTGTTACTGCCTGTTACCTGGGAGAAAAGACTGACCCCCACCTCCTTACAGTGTCTCTTCAGGCAGTTGTAGAGTGATACAGGAGAGATAAGGCTCTCCCCTCAGCCTTAGAAGACTGACATCAGTCTTAAAGGGTACCATGGGCAGCACAGGTGAGGTTCCCTTTACCCAGACTACACCTACACCTGTCCCTGACTTCAAATGTACTCAGAGAGAGTGACTCTCACTCAAGAACGAGTGAATCCTGCAGCCCCTTGCAAAAGTCCTAAATCTATTGCAGACCTTTGCCAATTCGCACTACACAAATCTGTGCCATTGAGAGCACGATACCACACACAGGGGCTGAGTTGAACTGGATTTCAACCAACCAGACACAAAAAAAAAGGCATATTTTATTACTAATGCCCTAAGACCACCCATGCAGCCTTCAGTAGCATTTCATTTATCWTTTTTTTTCATGTGTGTAGCTCCTCACGGTCTCTTCTTCAGTCCTCTCCCACAGGAGAAGACCCTCCATGGATGACTCAGGATAACATTAAACATTACAAATCCAAGACCCAACTGTAAACTCTCCTGGAGCAGAGGGCCATGCTCCTTCATTAAAAAAATCTCTACAGCAGTGTGTTGAGTCATGGCACTCTCCAAATATTTAATAWTATGACACAGTTACGTGTATTGTGGGTTGTGGCATTGTGGTTTCACAAGTGAGTTTCAAGATCCCGTGTGCTGTGAGTGAGCTATGAAAGCTATCATCCCCCCGCAGGGGTTAGGGTAGCATTTTGCCCAGCATTAGCGTGTGTGCTCATGTGGCAGCCCAAAAAGCCATGGATAAATGCTCCCAAGGAGACTTTAAAAAAATTATTTAGCTGGGACCGATGGCTGGAAGGTGCCAGAGCACATGACTGGATGSCATTCCTACATTTTAAACAAGTATTCTGGCCATCCTGAGGCACGGGCTACATCTGCAACTATAAATAACTTTGAGCTAGTGGCCATCTACCGTCCCAATGCACAACTGGAATGGAAAACTAAGCTCCATTACCCACACTCTGCATCAGGAAACATGTTTCTTTAAACCCCCAAGCTCTGCATTGACTTTGGTGAGTGGTTTATTTGTGAGCAATGAATAATAATAATATAATAATAATAATAAATTATAGGTCAGTGCCCATGTTGTGCCTTCGACCCTATTTATTTATTAGTTTAAGCAGATACAAGTTTTTCACTTGGGTCTTTTAAGTTTCAATTTCAAGCATTGATAGGAACTTTTTTTTTTAAAGGCTTTGCCACCTACTAAATATAAGCCAAATTATTATGATATGAATTTTGAATATTCACCCACATGCTTTATTTTCTGACAGGGAGAACAAGCAAAGATTGTTTGAGACGAAAATAATTTGCAAAATATGGAAGAGCAGGAGCATATATGAAAAAGTAAGGACTCAGAAAGTGAAGTCCCTCCAAATTAAATCAAGAACAGGGAACATCCTTGAGGAGCGCTTCCTTTGGACAACCTCAGAGCAAGCATTGATACTCCTGAGGGGCAAGTACATTGGTACAAGATGTTGGAGGCTAGGATATTTCCTTTTTTTTTCTTTCTGTCCGGGAACGTTCTCCCATTTGTTGCCTAAGAGATGGTAATCAGCACACTTATGACAGACAAAAGCAGTGGCCAAGGTAGCAGGGGGAGGAGAGGTAGCAGGTGTGCTCGACTCTGCTGTTCCAGACTGCAAAAAAAAAAAAAATTCCTGGGCTGTTAGGAGCAGATGCCAGAGACTCTGGGATATTACATATATGCAGAGTGACAGTAAAGGCAAAACAACCCCCTCACTGATGA